CCTCCTTCACCACAGGAGCCTTGATGTGCCCCTCCCACACCCCTTCCCTCCCCATCCAAGGCTTACCAGCTGCACACAGCTGTATTGGAAATCATATCCGTGTTGGCCAATATACCTCCTTAAAAGTTGACTATCGGTATCAGCTCCCAAAATCTCTATCAGTGCAGCCCTAGAAAAAAGTTATGCCAAATTCAAGCTTAATATCCTACCTTGTTTTCAAAAACAGGTTGAACAGGAATAACCAGAACATCATTTACCACGTCTCCAGTCTCAGTAGTATAGAAAATAACTATACATGCCAAAGGAGCCCAAGAATTTTCTGCTGTTAAAGTGAAGGTTGTTGTAACTTTTTTGCCAAAAGCCACAATTTGTTCCTTAGATACCACCTAAAGTGGAAAATAAATGACATCCAAGTCATTTCAAGCTACTGTGTTACCATCACAAACTAATGCAAGTAACCAGAGAATCAGTGAACAATGACCTTCAACAGAAAATATATGAACCTGTTCCCTTTTGGAGAAGGCCTGAAGAGGTGGTTTATCTGTTGTGTGAGGTGTGGTATGGAAGAATTATGAATATATTTACATTCATAACTTGTCTACCCTTTTATTCCTGGAAATGTTGTGAACAAGTATAGAAATAGCACAAGAATAATATGATAATAAAGATATCGTGGGGGACACAAAAAACATTATAATAGGGAACACACTTCCTGGATTCTGAAATATATTCCTCCCAAGCAAGTACATCAAACAGTCCATTAATAAATTAATCCAGTTCTATTTAAAATCTGCTTTGGTGCTTGGCTGCAATGCTTTGGTTGGAAAGCTGTTCCAGAACCTTATTCCTCTGATCATTAGAAACCTTCTGCTGTTCAATCTAAAATTATTCACAAACACATTATATCTATTTGTTCTTGTACTACATTGTTCTTCAGCTCAAAAAACTCTACTGTTCCCTCTGGTACTTATGCTTCACATGTATTTACAGGCAGAGAAAAAGCAATTGAAATCTAATTGAAAAGGTAAATAATTTTAATCAGACAGTTTAAAATTTAGAGGGGCTTTCTCTGTTACAGCTTTTACCATTTTTTTTCAAATTTTGAGACAACTGCTGAATTCTTTCACCTATTTTTGATCAGCAATTTTAACGCTAATTTAACTCAAGGAAGCTGCCTATTAAAAGTTAGAGAAGCAAATCTGTTCTTATTAATAATTCAAAATCATTTTTCATTTAAAAACTAAAAAAAAAACTCACCACATACATACTTCAGTCCTCCAAATCCATCATTTCATAAAGACTACACCTGACATTTCTGTTATTCTTCAAGTAAAAAATAAAATCAAACGAGAACTACCATACACTTTAAACCTTTTTTTAATTTACTTTCAGGACTTTTGATATATAGGGGGTGCAGTGTGGGCAGGAGGTTAAGGACTCCTGCACTATGGTAAGTATCTTGTTAACAGTGTTCCAGCCTAACTTGTGTTGAGATATTGGGAGGGGATCCAACCACTCTTATCACTTTGCCTGAGGCTCATTGGTGAGAGCTAATTCTGTTCCCATGGTTCCACTTCATTGACAAATCAGCTAGCCTGATATACTGCTTCCTTTAAAATAATGTCAGAACTGTCTTCAGTGCACATTCCAACAGAACTCTGAGAGGCATTCTTGTTGGGACAGTCAGTGGTAGTTTCTCTGAACAAATGTGCTGTAAGGATTCTTTTCTTTTTACTTATTGCAAGAATTACACATCTCTGAAATACTCAACAACATTGCTTTACTCATCTAAGTTAATTGATCACATGTGAAAAAATAGTAACTTACCATGTAATTGAACTCTTTTATTGGCATGTTGCTTGCAATACTCAGCTCAAAAGGTGTTCCAGCCTAGAGAAAGAGCATAATGATATGGATAAGAAAGCCCACAATGAATAATTTACAGAAATATTTTATTGTTAAGTTCAATCTAATTTGAATAACTATCACCTTTACATCCTGTCCTGGGCTTTTTATCTGGAGGTAAGTCTTGCTGGGGGCATTAAATACATCATCAACTGTTATACTAGTTTCACCATCAAGAAAACTAGCCTGCAAGACAAGATCAAAAAGTCTATAGGTAGAATTATAAAATCTAGTTAAAGCTCATTTATATGCCAATATTAAAAGTGTGAGACATAAAAATGTACAAAGAATAAATTCTACACAAACAATTTTCATCATAGTAATGATGACCAGATTTATCAAAGCAAAAATAAGTGCATGTAATATGAGGTGGGGATGGATACACAGTGAAGACTTTTGTAGAAAAGTGCATCTGGAACCAGCTTAGCAGGTTCAAGAAAAAATTAAAAGGTACCTGTTCTCCTTCTGCAGCAGCAACACAGAGCTAGAATCATCTCAAAGAAGTTTATTAAGAATGGGAAGTGTCTTTTTTGAAAAACCATATTGGGAGATTCCTATTTTCCTGGGCCCTTCTTAATGTGGTGGAAAAGTGACAGCATGAGATTGGCTTTGCACTGCTTTGGTCTCTGAGGCAGAGAAATGCTGTCATTTCCTTCAATCACAAGCTCTAACCAGACACTTTGCAGGGGGTCTCCTAGACCTGCACATAGCACCATTTTCTCCAGAACTGAAAGGACTCAAAGGAAAGGCCCTTAATAAATGACAACTTGTTTTCAGGGATACATAGATACCGTTCACACAGCACTCTTTACATATGCTATGGAAGGGAGGGGAGTGCTTTAATTAGAGCAGCTCCCAAGAGTTCCTTTAATTAAAGCACCCACAGCATCTTGTGGATTCAGTGTCCTGTGCTTCAAAATGGTGGCAGGGATGCTTTAACTAAAGCTCGTTCAATGAGCTTTAGTTAAAGTGCCCCCACCATCATTTTGAAGTGTGGGGACACTGAATACACATGACGTGGAGGCTGCTGGAGCACGCTAATTAGCATATTTCAACAGACTCAATTAATCAAGTCTGCTCTGATGAACTGTAATTACAACACGTCAGACCAGCATCCCATGATTCATACATCACTTAAAGGAATAATTAACGAGGAGTTGAGGGCTGACTAGTTTTCAGAGATTTTTAACACTGTCCATATCAATCGTCACAGAAGCAGGATAATGCACGTTTGACAAGCCACATCATTCACATTCTTTTCATTTTGTTGGCTTAGTGCACTGAGATATCACAAACCAAACAGTACCTTCATTTGTAGACTTCTTGCAGTAGCCAGAATTGGAATTTCAATCTGAACAATTCCTGTTTCTGGGACACTGTAACTTAGTGAATGAACTGATTCATTTCCCTGCTGCGCAACTTCATTTTCACTTAGAGAAAACAAAGATCGGTGAGAAACTGAGTCTGACTGTTCCGCAGTGATGGTGACATAATTTTGTCTGTCTTCAGCTGTTAGAGGACTGTTGTCAGAATGCATTACTTTCAGCTAAAAAAAACAAAACAGAAAAAAAAGGTCCATCAGGCAGCCCAAAATAAAACTCCGTGACTCAAAGTTCAACAACATATTCATTTTTATGACATTATTATATTTCTGAAACAACTCTCCTCCGACTTCTAATGTATCAATGTATTTCTAAACCCTTTGCAACTTCGTAAGCAGGCAAGCTAAATTCCAAACCTGACACTTCACATGTTGGCTTTGACTGTTAAATGATGACACAGAACAGGTGTGCTAGGAAACCTTGCCCTTTTCTCCTCAAGGCACTACCAGTGTTTCAGTGATGATGCCTTGCAACATGTGAAGATTCAGCGTATGTCTTAAATCATTTACTTTTTCATGTCATTCCCACTTCACAGCAGAAATAAGAGATAGTTCTATGCTGACATCATGTGTAAGATAAGCAAAGCTAATACAGTACATTCTGTTTAAGTGAATGACCCTGGCATTAAAAAAAACAAACTGTTCTTTACCTGATATATACATTTATACAAATCCAATGTGTGCAAATGTAATTAACTATAGGAACAGCCTGTACTGAGCTTTCTGCTCCTCATTAAAACTTGTTACTGTGTTTCTCAGGGTCTCTTATATTTCTAATAACAGTCTTAAAATTGATAGAAGCAGATCTAGAACCTGCCCTGAAGTTGACAGTTTTTATGTAGATAAAGGGCATGCCATTACATTACATAATAGACAAGAGTTCCTATTTATTTAAGCAGCGTATGTACTTATGCACTTAACCATATGCAGATAACCAGGGATCCTGGTTTTCTCTGATAAAAAATACCCTAGTTTTAGATTAAAAAAAACCCCCAAATCCACATTTTTCCATGATTAAAATAAAACACCATATATAGTGGTGTTTTATTTTAATCATGGGAAAATGTGGATTTGAAGTCGGGGAGTTCATTCAAAAATTGGGATTTTATTTTTTTATCAGAGAAAACCAGGATCCCTGCAGATACCCAATGTTCATTATAATGTAAGAAATAAGCAAAAACTGGGACTAGTCAAGATAACAGAAACTTGGTGGGATAATTCAACTGATGAGAATATTGACATAGACCAATATATAGCATGTCTAGGGTGGTCAGGCAGGGGGGAGAAGGAAGAGGTGTTACTCCGTATATTAAAGCTATATATACTTATTCTGAGGTACACAATGAAGTAGGAGTGTCTAGGTTAAGGTAAAAAGGGAAAACTGCAAGGGTGAAGTCATGGCAGTTGCAAACTGTAGACCACAAAACCAGCATACAAATCACAGGACTTGGTGCTTGTAGAGTATTTTAATTACAGTGATACCAGCTGAAAGATAACATAGCAGTATGCAGACTGTCTTGCAAGCTGTTGGATTTTCATGGGGACAACTTTTTCTTACAGATGGTGCAGAAACCAACGATGGAAGGAGGATCTTCTCAATTTTCTCCTTACCAGTAGAGAAGAATTGGTTTATTGTGAACAACGCATGTCTAACCAACCTGATTTCCATCTGTAACAAGGTTAAAGCCCTTGTGGATGGGGCTGAGCAGTGCATCTGATACAGCAGAGTGCATCCAATACAGCTGATTCCATCTCACACAACATTCTTAGAGGCAATAAGAGGAAATATGGTGAAACATGATAACAGGCATCCTGGGGAGATAATCATGCTAAAAGAGCAGTCATCAACCACTTAATGTCAAACTGAAAGTGGGTATTAAGTAGGGTTCCCCAATGTCTGTCTGGGAACCAATAATGAAATTAAAGAAAAACCAAATCAGGGCTCGTGAACAACCTGGATACCTAAATTGGAGACTCTTTTTAGTTATAACCATTATAGCACACAGATTTCAATCAACCAAAGATAATTTACTTTAAAAAAAAAAAAAAAAAAACTGAAGTGAAAATTAAAAAAAATGCATTATATACATTTGTAAATCCCCTAACCTAACCTTTTAAGGAGAAGCACAGACACAACTCTGACATCTTTGTATTCACATGAATAAGCCACAATTAAATGGGAGAACTTACAGTAGCTATAAAGTTCAGAGAAGGTTTTAGAACTTTAGGATAGTCAGAAAATGCAATGATGTAGTCACTCCGCTTTGGAAATACAGTGGTGCTTGAATTTTGGGAGATTCCTGTTGGAAAACCATGTGTAGAAGAAACTATTACTATTTATTAGAAAAAAATATTTTAAACAAGTTCTCTCTGATCCTCTTCATGCTCTAGGTAATCATATTTTTATGGTCATTCCAGCAGCCCAATTCATTCTGTTGCCACCATCCTGTCCACCGAGTGTTAGTATACAGGTATATAAGCATCCTTCCCCTTAGCAGCAGATACACAACACTGAACAGTGCTTCCATGGATCCATCCCACATCTTTGCCATGTACCCAAACAGGATATCAGATGCATGTTCCTTAATTCCTCCAATGATTCAAACAATATAGTTATGTAAGAGGATAACACCAATAAAAATACTTTGCTTTCAACATATGATCCTGCTTCAGTGCTTTTTAAGCTCCATAATAAGTTGTTACATTGTAGCTCAGTATTTGGATTCTACAGAAAGGCATCATGGCTAGGTACAGACTTTCAAAAAGCCTGAGGCAAAATTGATCTAAGTTACGTGGTTTTATGTAATCAGTGTAGTTTAGATCAGTAGCAAACAGAGCAGAACACACGGCACATTTACACGTCACCTTTTAGAAGTACTAAAACACAACACAGTATGGATATTTACTGTGCTGTGCTCATAGCACGTGGTTTAAATTTTGCCGCTACGTCATCATAGTGGCTCACTAACCAGGGAACATGCCACTATGGCAACGTAGCTGGCAATCATGTGTGGACCCGCGCAATCACTATGTCACCACAGCATGCTGTACGGCAACATAGCGCGCATCCCTACATCACGATAGGACAATGTGTAGACATGCCCACACATTTGGCCTTTAGTCGTGGGGATGGGTGGATGCAT